ATACCCACGGCAAGGGCTCCCTCATCTAGAGTTGAGGGTGGTCCTGGATGCACGGAGAGTGCCTTTGATTATTAAAGAGTCATAGCATGTAGAGGCTTCTGTCATAGCCCTGGGGACAAATGTCTCTAAGACAGGGCTTAGCACTGGGCCTTAAAATGACCTACTTGCAGGGGTGCTGAAGCTGTAGTACAGGTTTCTGCAGGGGTGGGGCTAACCTTACAGGGGAGATTTACCTGTACCTCGTTCTTGTTTGTTTTCTTACTATTTTCTCTGCCCCATTTATAATTTCATAGAAAGGCACTACACCAAAGGGGAAGACCAGCTTACACGGTCAGGCGGCACAGGACCATGGGCTAGATATGTGTCTCATTTGTACAATTAGATGTCACGTGGCAGACAGTGCAGCAAGCAGCAGCTCTAGGTGATGGTGGCATTCTGAAGGAGGTCTGCTTCCGGCTAACCTTGAAGATGTCTTTCTTTACATCTCTTAAACAAACAAAGGCCCTTGCCTCTTTATTCTTTGCTCTGCTGGGATCAAACCCAGCTACTGCACAGGCCAGTCAGTTGCATGTAGATTCTGGAAATGCTTTGTGACCTCTGGTTGGCAGGTCCTCGAGAAGAGTTTCTTGACATCATCTCTGCAGAAATCAGTGATGACAAGCTAGAAACATGGGAATGGGTGGTCTCTCTATTCCAGTCGCGCTAGGTTCAAATAATAACTTCAGAGTGGGACTCTCATTGGTTGGGCAGACAATAGTATGTAAACAAACTCTTCCAGTGCCCAACTGTAAATGTTTTCTAAACAAAAACATTTATGGCTAAAAATAAGCTGTCTGTGAGGTTAAATTCCCTAAGAAGGAAGTAAGCCATGAGTGCTGAAGAATTGCTCGAGGAAGCTGAGAAAAACAATAGAAGTCACATGCTTGGGTTATGCTTGCCCAAAGAGGTATATAAACCCCGCCCCCAGCAGGAGAAGGCATCACATCTCCCTCTCCTCTCCTGAGTCTCTCTCCTCACTGCACCTGAGTCCTCTCTACTGACACCATGGGTTGCTGTGGTTGTGGCAGCTGTGGCAGCTGTGGAGGCTGTGGCAGCTGTGGAGGCTGTGGCAGCTGTGGCAGCTGTGGCGGCTGTGGAGGCTGTGGAGGCTGTGGCAGCTGTGGCAGCTGTGGCGGCTGTGGTGGCTGTGGTGGCTGTGGTGGCTGCAACAGCTGCACCATCTGCAGGTGCTACCGGGTTGGCTGCTGTGGTCGCTGCTGTGGCTGCTGCACCCCTGTGGTCTGCTGCTACCGCCGCACCTGCTGCCGCTCCTGTGGCTGTGGCTGTGGCTGTGGGAAGGGCTGCTGCCAGCAGAAGTGTGGCTGCTGCCAACAGAAGTGTGGCTGCAAGAAGCAGTGCTGTTGCTAGGAAGACTGCTGGCCTCTGGGGAGATGATGGTAGGATCCAGGTTCATATACTTTTATATTACATACATACACACATACATACATGCATGCATTAGACACTAAGGTGTAATTATTTCTATTTCACCTACATATCAAGCTGTAAGTCTTAAGAGAAATATCCCTTATTAGAAAGAAGACTGAAATAAGTCTGTGCTCTGCTGGAGATACCAAATCACGGATAATTTTGTCAGCCTCCCTGAATTATGTTCATTTATCTATGAAATAGTAAAGTTGAGCTCAGAATCTCTAAAGTCCTCTTCAACTTTAATAGCAGATGCATCTATTGAGTTCTTAAAACTGACTCATAGCCCTTCTTTCTGTCTATACCTGATACTCTCATCACAAATATAAATTTAAGCATTATAATGTGTTCATATTTTAAAATTCCACCACCAATTATAATCTGCATTTTAATGAAAGTAGGACAATGTTTGTGAAGATGCAGCAAATTCACATTGATGATCTCAACTGCATGAAAGAATGTATCCTAAGCCAGGAGGTGGTGATGCATTCATGCCTTTAATCCCAGCACTTGGGAGGCAAAGGCAGGTGGGTTTCTGAGTTCAAGGTCAGCCTGGTCTACAAAGTGATTTCCAAGACTCCCAGGATTGTTACACTAAGAAACCCTGTTTTAAAAACAAAAAAAATAATAATAATAAAAAAGAAAGAAACTTTGTCTTAAAATCAATAATAATAATAAAGAAAAAAAGAAAGATTGTATTCTATTATTTTGAAATGTTTGCCTTTGATGGAACACCTGTACTTACAAATCTTCTATCATTGATTGTATATTGTATGTGTTTTAACTTTAAAATGTTTTTGTCTTTCTCAGTATAATTTATCAATAAAACAGTAGAAAAATGTTGTGTTTTACTGTCTTTGGTTTGATTTTCTTGCTGACTTTTGGAACTGATGCTTTGGGAACACAGGTTGCAAACTCCTGTAGAGGTAGAGGTAGAGGAAGGTTATAAGACAGACAAAGGTTAGCCAGGCAGTGGTGACACAGACCTTTATTCCGAGAGCCTAGCGAGGCAGAGGCAGGCAGATCTTTGAGAGTTTGATGCCAGCTTGTTCTAAAGAGGTTTGTTCAAGACAGCCTAGGCTACACACAGAATAACCTTATCACAACAATAACAACCACAACAAAAAGGTAGACAAAGTTTGACACTGAACACAATAGGTCAATGCAAACAAATAGACACAATGACATAGAGTGAGTCAACAGAAGGTTTCCTGGTTGACGTCAATAATCCTGGTTAAGACCTGGCTTGCCACCATGTGACCCCTTTACATGGAGTGGAGCTTCAGAGCCATGAGAGAAAAGACAGTAGGTGCTGGAGAGTCCTAACATGTTTTTAAAAGATTACATGTCATTCTAGACTCAGAAGCATAAATTTGGTTCAGATTGTTTTCAAAGGATATGATGTGATAACCTAGATGAGACAGCTGTGGTGATGATGGTGAACTGTCTAGTTTCTTATCCGTTTCTGTGTCTTTTTAGTTGTCCTTCCTGTACAACAAAGACGTTACTTTCCCCCAGGGTCTTCTTCATCTGGAAAGTGGATATGCAATGACTAGGTGGACCTTTGAGAGATACAAAATAAAGGCTGTCTTCTTGCTCCAGTCTATGGCTGTTGAAAAGGAACATAGTGGACATGAAATCTTCTGTGTTTCATGGCTCCAACAGCAGTTTCATAGTCCTCAAGATGCAGTTGAAATGATAGTGGTTAGGTCAGGGTTCCAGGGTTCAGTCACCTACCTGGAGACTGTGGTGGGGTGCAGTGGTCTCCCGACCCACACCGAAACCAAAGTGTGTTTGAACTTGACTGTTCCTCTGCCTTTTTGAAGGCAGCAAAGGTAGCAGCTCTCTTTTGATAGTTGAGATGCCATGTCCTAGGAAGGCTTCCTGCAGACACGAAAAGCTGCCAATCTTTACTCTTGGCCTTTTAAAGCATGTTTTGCAGGCAGAATCTCTCTCAACAGCATCTCTTTTCACTTAACACAGAAGAATTTCGATTTGTGTGTGTGTGTGTGTGTGTGTGTGTGTGTGTGTGTGTAACTGACAGGATTGTAAGAATGCTTTTCTCATCGCTTTCTGGTCAAATTTTAGCCATTTTCAGAACCTGATGGAACACTGGTTTCTAGCCCGTTTGAATAAACTACTTCCTTCTGAACATCTGGACTCCTGATGGTTTTGCCAGGCCATGTTCCAAACAGGGTACTTACCTGGCTTTAGTAACTTTTGTTTTTAGCTCTTTTGTTTGCGGAAAATTAGAAACTCACTAAAATGTAGGAAAGGGTACTTTATTATAGGACAGTAGGACAAGTCTATAGCCATTCTTTGTCAGGTAAAAACCAAGACTCAGAAAGCCACCGAGTGGGCCACCTCCTCTCCAACCACATGTTTTCTCTTCCCCCTGCCTGCCGTAAATCCAGTGGCCTCCAGCACGGTAGTCCATCACTGCCTCCAATAGTATCTGTGAAATCTGCGTTCTGGGAATAGAAGGAGGGTTTTATAGCTAGAGCTGGCTGACGTTTGCATGTTTCTTCTGGATGTACTCATTTGAATTTTACTACCCACTCGTACGCAGGTGTTGCCTAATGACTCATCTTTCAGAAATAGAGCAGGCCAGTTTCAGTAATAATGAGAGCAGAGACCATCACTGCCTCTTCAAACATGGCCTCAGTACGTGTGGGAGCCTGGATGCAGATGCTGCAGCGGCTCCTCTGGGCCCCTTGGGGACCACCATCCGTGCGGCCTCCCTGGGACTATGGCAGCTACCTGGGAGGAACAAGCACTTTTGCCTCTGAAGCTTCTCCCAGCTGATCGAGTCTCTCCACGGCAGGCTCACAAGCTGGTAGTAGGAGAGATCATGGAGTCAACGTCTAGAAAGAGAAATTGCGGTCCACAGTTCATGGTTTGAATAAAGCCAGACACCATCATCTCTGCTCCCCTCTCGCCCATTACTTATGTCATGGTTTCCATATTTGGTCACTTTCCTTCTAAGGACATCAGCCAGATTTCCCAGATGTCATATGTGGGTCGTGTACAGATTATCTACTTTATACAGCATCAAAAATGCTGTATGTTGTCAAACAGCGCAAACGGAATACCAATGTTTAGAAAAATCAGGAATACTTGTAGAGAAGTTTTTTCCTAATCTTATACATATTCTTACTGAATAACTCCAAAAGTAGGAATACTTCATACATAATTATACCAACATATGAAACGTAGTTTATTCTAATTGGATATACTTGTCTTTTGACATCTTATAAGGCATTTCAGAAGGAATATTTTAGAGGGCTTATGCCAAACAAGTCCATTTTTGTCAGTTTTGACTCACCTGTATTCATGTGTAAATTCACCACTTAGCAAATAGAGATTTTTTTTTTCTGCCTGTTTTCCTTCATCCTATGATAATATAAAATGATTATTAGTTCCCGTCATAATCCTCATAAAATCCTGGCGGACTGAACTCTGAACTGTTTTTCACAACTCATTTTTCATACGTGCTAAACTTTAACCAGAACATTGGGATAAAAGGCCAGGCAGCTACACAAGCCCAGGCAGTTGGAGGACGTTTTTAACGGCACCACAACAACCATGACGTGCTGCGAGGGGTGGACATCCTGCAATGGCTTCAGCCTGCTGATTCTGGTCATTCTAGGAGTGGTTATTAATTGTATACCTCTGGGAGTGAGCTTAGTGGAGGGCGACTCGGCGTCCCCAAACCCCATCTCTTGCTATGAGTGGTGGTTCCCGGGAATTATTGGAGCAGGCGTGATGGTGAGTAATAGCTACTTGACTTGACTTGGAGAGGGGGTGAACTGCTTTTTACCGATGTCTTTTGTGTGTGACTTTCAACTTTGCAGCCAACTATGTCTTTATAGGATACAGTTAGGAAAATAGGTTATCAATGATTTATACTTTATATTGTGAAGAATGACAATTTACCTAAAGAAAACTGTGGTCTATCCTAGGGACCTTAAGGCAGAAGCAAAAATAGGTTGATGGAAGGTTAGTACCTACTGCATCTCTTCACAGGTAGGATGACACTTCTGAATTTTCTTATTTAATAGTAAGGATTTTTTCTTTTCAATGTTTTTCTTCCTTTTATGTGGTACTGGGGATAGGACTCAGGGCACTACACCCCTAGCTCTGTGGGGCGTCTTTTTAATTCATTGCCTCATCTTTTTCTTTGCCCCATTCTGATTTCTGAGCATTTTGATAGGGAACACAGCAGCAGTGTGAATGGGAAGCACCCCTACATGTAGGCAGTCTTGGAGGCAGCACAGTGAGGCTTAGCCTGCTTCTCAAGAGAGTCGGTCTAAGGCACACAGATCAAAATCCTGGGCCTCTTTTAGAAGCTGCTTGGCCATGGTCGTGTGTTTTATCACATCCACTGAAAACAGAGACTTTTTGCTTTGGCTATTACATAGACCCCAGAATGCCACAGAAAGCTTTAGAGCTTGATGACAGTGAATGGACCTTCTCTGTTGAAATCTGGTATGGAGTGGTACAGCAAGGACCTGTGGGTGTCCTCAGGAGGGAGCCAGCCCAGCAGGGCCGAGTCTCATTTACATTTTCTCCCAGGGATTCTGGTGCAGCCGGTCTGAGTGAACCCACTTGTAGAACCCAGTCTTCTGATCTAGAAGAATCGGAAGGACAGCATGTCTGTCTCTGCTACATTACCACAACCAAGTCACGTATCCCAGGGCTCTGTTTTGGTATCTGTGTGATGGGATCAGGGATGCTGAAATGGACAACTCAGCACCTAGGACCTTGCTTTCATTTGTCCTATCAGTTGTATGGTGCATCAGGGGGTCTAGTCAGTGCCAGAGAAATGAGCTTCTGAGAGAGAGAGAGAGAGAGAGAGAGAGAGAGAGAGAGAGAGAGCGCACTGTAATCATTGATATTACTAGGGTTTTGCAAATAATGAAACATTGAACTAACTTTTAAAGAAACTCAGAACATAAAAGAAAGAGGGGTTCTCTACTTGGATCATGAATTGTTGGAGGAAGTGTCTTGTGCCTCTCCCACTTCATGTTTTCTTTCTCCTCCTCTACTCATACCCCAGGATCTTGTGGTGCTTATGAGTGCACAAACATGCCCAGCTTTGAATCAATCTATTTATATAGGTGTTGTACGGACAGCTGCAGGCAGTGGTGAGCCTTCTGATGGATGTGGGTGCTGGGATCCAAGTTTGCGTCTTTCATAACGCCTGAGCCCTTTCTCCCACCTGGGGGTCACCAATTCTTAGTGAAGATCAGTTTCTTGTTACTGGGCTTCTCTTAAGCTCACATAAAGACAGTCTTAGAACTGAGGTCTGTGCCATACATGTGAAGCTCTTCCACCAAGGAGAGAGGATTAAAAATCTGAAGTCACTTTGTCTGTATGACACTGAGTCTCAAAAAACTCCACCAGCCAACCCAACAAAACATCCAAAACAGCCCACCAACCAAAACAAAAATCCTGCGCAACAAAACCTCTAAGGCCACACTATATCAAACTTTATATATTACATATATTTATATTTATATACTTGAACCCTTCTGGCATTGCAAAGACATTGAAAAGCCTTCCCCACAGATTGATGGCTTCTTCTCCCTTGCCGACAGGAGTGATCTAGCCGTCTGTTTCAGGTAGACACAGTCACAGGAAAAGCATTTTTGCAAAATGTAGGCTACCTCTTCACACTGCTGTGCCAGGTCTCTCTTCAGGCTGAACAGCGTGAAGCAACGGCAAAGCATCAGGCCTGTATCCAGTCTTCTAGAAGGGCTCCTCAGAATTGAGCAGGGCTGGCCTCCTCTGCATCTAGTGTAAACAGAATCAGAAGCCAGCCAAAAGCATCGGAGCCATGGCTGCAAAGCTGATGGTGGCGCACGCCTTTAATCCCAGCACTCGGGAGGCAGAGGCAGGCGGATCTCTGTGAGTTCGAGACCAGCCTGGTCTACAGAGCTAGTTCCAGGACAGGCTCCAAAGCCACAGAGAAACCCTGTCTCGAAAAATCAACAACAACAACAACAAAAAAAAAAAAGCTCCCAGCAGTGTCCCAGCTGAGATAAGCTGTGTGGGGAAACACAGCTATCTCCTGATATGAGTTGGTACTGCTCAAACACAAGAGAGGATATTTTAAAGATTTGCTACAAGTATTAAAGAGCACTAGGTACCACGATGTCTAGTTTCAGCCCCACGACCATCTGGGCTGCAGGTATCTCTTCTCCTTTTCAGACCAGAGAACAGAAGGCTGAGAACATTCACAAGGACAACAGTGGGTGTGAAGTCCAGTTCTAGATTTATCTAATGCCAAAGCCAGTTAAATACCATCAGCCTTAGTCCGTGTCCCAGGCCCACAGGAGTCAAAGGTAAAAACCCATAAAGTAAGAAGACCAGGAAGCTGAATCACGGAAAAGGTTACACACACTTGCGAAAGGCTTCCCAAGAATCTGGACTCCTTGGACCACAGTTGAGAAGACCTTGCTTCCCCCGATAAATATTCACCAGAGACCATTAAAGTATCGAATGCATGGAAACATCGGCTGCTCCCCATAGGGAGACCCTCAGGTTAGAAGTTAGCCCACAAGCAAACAGGTGGGGGACAGCAGCGCTCCGAAGGCAAGCATATTTTCGTGGTCCTGGGCTGCACACAGAAGGAGGAAGTACATCTTTGTAGCAGGAGGTATGTCCTTTGTGACTTCTCTCAAGATTCTGGCTTCTGCAGGGAAGTTTGTGAGAAAGAACCGATTAAGTGTGCTGAGAATACAGTCATAGCCCTTAAATCCTATGCACAGTGCTCCATTTCAAATTAGGGTCACGTCAGAAACGGGGGATTTTACAGGAAATTGCATATGATAGAAACTCTTGGGCTCATTACTGATTACTTTATGAAGTCATTTATGGTTTTAGAACCAACCCAACTCAGAGGCAAACCTTTTTATCTTTTGAAACTATAATCAAAGTAAAGCATCACGTAGTTAATTATCCTTAATATTATTATTACTAAGGGAGGGGACGTCAATATAAATGTTACGTGATCAAGCATTAAAACCATTTAAAAATGTTCCTTGAGAAATATAAACAGAAAAGCCCTTTTACTTTATATAGAGTTAATTATAAGCTGGGCCTTAATCATTCTTTTTATTGATTTTACTCATTACATCAGGGTAATTTGTCAGTCAGTTATTAAAACCTTAGTGGAGAGCAGATGACAGCAAGTCAAACAGATGAGATTGCATGCAGAGCCTTTGCCAGGCAGAGCTTCTGTGTTCATGCTGAGCTGTGCCTTTGCCTTGCATGTTGCCTTCCTGTTCAAGAGCCTCTAGGATTCCCCAAAGCTTGGCTTCTATCACAGTTTCCTAACTGTCTATGGATCTTGTGCACCTCCTTGATGAAAATGTACCATTTCTAAAACTGGTAGAAAGCATGGGCTCCCGCCAAGAAAATGAATAGTAATTACTTATACAAACAGGAAAAGCAAGACTGAATTGCACAACAACGCATGTATTTAAATATGCTCAGGAATCACCGACTATGCAACCCTATCGTTTTTATGCAAGTCTAGAGATAATATGCAAATGAATAGGGTTCCAATAAACCTTTATTTATAAAATAAAGCGACAGGGGTGGGGAGTGCATGTTCACCAGTTCCTGTTCTACATGATTTGTTATGTAAGATCAGAAAGCAGTGTCTTCTGGGACAACCAGAAAAAGTAGAACGTATAAATGCTGACAGATTTCTTCTTCCTTTTCTTCTGGGCTCTCAGCTATGCACAGGGCAGTTGGGGCGCCATATGTATGCGTGACTTCAGAATTGGAAAGGCATCAGTATTCAATGTGTAAGCAAAGCCTGGCAGCAACTCAAAGGACATGGAGTCAGCACAGGATAAGATGAGGTGACATGTGTTGGGAAAGCTGCCTTGTGAGAGGCATAAATCTGTGTTCTAGAAAATACAGAGGTGGATGTGACGTTGGAAGAAAGTGGGGGAAGGGACCTTTAGAAGGAGCGTGCCATGAGCAAGGGTGGTGGGGTTCTGGGGACCAGAATGGGGCTTTATGAACTTTAAGGATCCACTGGTGTGGGGCAGTGGCCAAGAGTCTGGCTTTGGTTCTGAACACTCCAACTTTCTTAGGCGAGTTCCTCAAACTTGCTCCACCTGTTTTGACAGTGGCAAAATGGGGGAGGGAGATAGGACGAACATTAGAGCTACATTAGAGGACAGTTATGGGGGTGACACAAACCAAAACACATTCAGTTCTAATAGCGTCTGCTATGTAGTTACAGAGCCTGGCCATGCTACCAAAGCAGACGGTAGGGGAACCAATCCAGGGTAGCCGAGCTGAGCTGGCAAACACCTTCAGTCAGAGCTAAAAATTCACAAGTGAAAGGAAGCAACCGACATTCTGTCCCTTGACGATGCAAAACTCCTCGCCAAGAGCTTCCGGTCATAGCTGATGCCTAATTCTTTTTAAAAATCAAAAACTAACTCTTAAGAATGTGATACAGTGTAAAGCTCTCCTCAGTTGTACAGAATGCAACTTTTGCCTGTCACTAGGCAGGGAGTTCAAGGCCATCCTGGTCTACACAGTGAGTTAGTTCCAGGCCAGCCAGGACTACATAATAAGATCTTGTCGCAAACAAAGAAACAAACAAACAAACAAAAAACCCAAAGAGTTCTAAACATCAGTGTCCAGCAAAAATCAGCACATACTAAGGATGCAGGCGCAGAAAAGAGCAGGTGGGACCAACTGTCATTCTCATACATAAGCTGGAGGAGACTAGCAAGATGCCGGAGGCCAGGGGAGTAGAAAGGGAGGCTCGTGGGAGCGACGGTGAATTGGTCCCTGCCAAACGCTAGGCAAACAAACTGTCAATTTCTTTCTTCCCCAATTGACTTGTTTAATTTATGGGGAATTAGATATGGCTGGAAGTTATAGTAACTCAAGGAAAAGAGGGAGGGGAGATATAACAGGGGAGAGAAAGAAAAGCAGAGTAGGAGAGAGAGGATGACAAGGTAAGATTGGGGTGATAGAACCAATCCCTCTAAGACTCATGCATCAATAAGCCATCCTACTCTAATTAAAATCCAGGAAACTATAGCCACCTCTGAGTAAACAGGAGCCAGAAAGCTTCATAGCTACTATCTCAGCTCTCATCCTTTCTATCTTTACCGACCGGTGATAAGGTTCACAACACAAGGATCTTGCCAGATTTTCTCTTTTGTTCTCCAGAGCCCTGAATTCTCCCAAGGGGCAGTCCATGGAAGGTGCTGATGATGGGTTTTCATCAGGTAAGAAGCGATAGCACTCATCTTTCCTTTAACATTCTTTCCAGGCCATCCCAGCAACAACAATGTCGTTGGCCTCCAGAAAAAGAGCATGCTGCAATAACAAGACAGGGGTGAGTAACAGGCGGTGGGCTTGGAAGCTGAAGTACATTAACAGCCTACGGAATCCGAGCCATCAGCATCTGCTGGGCCTCAGTCTTGGACAAATGTTGTTGGAGTTTGTTAAATAGTCATATAAAGGATGAGAAGACAGCTTTTTTTTTTCTCCTAGAGATTTAGCTTTGAACCAGGCAGTGGTGGCACAAGCTTTTAATCCCAGCATTTGGGAGGCAGAGGCAGGTGGATCTCTGTGAGATCGAGGCCAGCCTGGTCTTCACAGCTAGTTCCAGGGCAGCCAGAGCTGTTACTCAAAGACCCTCCCAAACAAACAAACAAACAACAACAACAAAGACATCTAGCTTTTGAACTAGTCTTTGGTCCTTTCCTCAACCTTCAGTTCACCTGAAGAATTGGAAGTTTTTTAAATGAGGATTTCTGTCACATCCAGAACTGTAGTCAATTTCAGAACACTACCACGCTTGTTTGAGTAGTATATAAACTACTCAGGGCAAATGCACCCTCAGGTTTTCACTGCACATGGAAAGGGACGTTTGCTAGGTTAATCGCTTTTACTTCAGAATATTTGTTCTTAAAGGGGACATCAATTATTTTTCAAACATTTAATACCTACTATATTTAATCCCTCAAAACCCTAATGTGGGCACTGGTCAAGTCTTAGTTTATTTTAATTAATAATTAATTGATGGAAAATTTTTTTAAGACAGATTCTATACAGTCCTGGCTGTCCTGGAACTCACTATGTAGACTGGGTTGCAGAGATGCACCTGCCTCTGTCATCATGCCTGGGAGATCTCGTTGTTGACCAAGACACTGATGATCAGAAAGAAGAAAAAAGGAAATAATTCACCAGGGTAGCACAGTGAATATTTTTCTAATCTAAACCCACCAGACCACCAATTTCAGCCCTTACACTATTTATACCATGAACAGGACACTGGGGTCTAATTCTTCAAGGCAGGGGCAGACCAATGACAAGCACCTATACCCACTGCATGGGACTGAGGTTGGCAGAAAGGCTTTAAATCCATGGTTCCCAGTCAGATGAGAACACACACAGATCTAGGGAGATTTCAAACTTGCAAGCACCTGAGTGGATCCCAAGAGTTTGCATGTGTCAATCTTCAGAAGCACCGGGTGATTTGGGGAAGAGCCACTGTCCTAAAGCGGATAATGTCCCAGACAACATGGGTTGTGTTATAACGTCTTTAAAAATTATTTCATGCATGTGTGTGTTTTGCCTGCACGTATGCCGCTGCCTGTGGAGGCCAGAAGAGGTGTGGGGTCCCCTAGAACTGCAGTACAATTACAGAGGTTGAGCTGACACAGAGGTGCTGGGGATTGCATCTGGGGCCTCTGAAAGAAAAGCAATCACTTTCAATTACTGAGGCTCTCTCTCTCTCTCTCTCTCTCTCTCTCTCTCTCTCTCTCCTCCCCCGTACTCCTGGCATTCTCTGTTTTTCTAGGATTACAATAATCACTTCAACTATGGTATTTTCAGTCTGACTTTGTTCCTGCTACTTTGCAAGTATTCTGTGTTTCTACTCCCTGTCACTTTTGTTCCTAAAATACCATATCTTAGTGCAGATCGACCTCACTTCTGTGTGATACTCACAAATTCTCAAGATGATTTACTTCTGATTCTTTGAACTCGACAAGTAACCAGCACATGACTTGTTCTTAACCCAAATTTCTATTAACATTTTTGCACGTACTTTCATAAAAAAAAATAGTCTTTTAAATGGTCGGTTAAGTTCTGTTTCTTTCAAGGACACAAGCAGGTTGGGAGAGCTAAACTATGTGTTGTTTTTCAATTATGTCTCTGTGAATATGCACCGTGAGAGCCCTGCCCGAGGAGGTCAGAAGAGTGTGTTAGATCCCCTGGACCTGGAGTCACAGGATGTGAGATAGCGGGTGCTGGAACTGAACTTGGGCCCTCCAAAGAGTAGTATGTGCTCATCCCACTGAGCCATTTCTCCCTTCCTCAATGGAGCCACTTTTCATGTAGACACTAGCTTTAAGTTAGGAGGTCGTTTTGCTCACACTAATCTGAGTTGTATCCAGTTCAGTCATGCTTCAGCAAAACCACGGGCCATTCAAAGCTGAGCATCTGCAAGGGCTGCTGGGGGTGGGGGCACAAGGCATTCTGTACCATTGCTGATGCTGTTAGCGATGGTCCTGGTCACTTAAACAGTGATCGCCTGTTTATGTTAATGTCCTTAGCAATGCGTTCACTTGCTGGCAGTCAGGGGTTCAATCAAGTTACAGTTGGTACCTTCTCGGTCTAGATGAGACCAAGGTGCCATAAAATTCTCCTCCCTTCTTGGCAGGGGACACCAGGACTTTCTTCCAGTTGTTCCTGTTACTTCCTCCTATTTAAGAGATCTTTGCTTCCTTCCCCTTTTCTTTCTCAATATGATGATTTTTCTCAATCACTTGAAGACTCCTCACTTTGAAACTGTGTAGCAAGGTTCCCTCATAGTGGCCAGTCAGAGATAACAGGCACTTCTCGAGGAGTAAATCTGGTAGCTTGCACAAGTCTCAATAGCATTGGAGAATCAGGATTTACAGTTGATCCTAACTCCCCTTACCGTGTGCTTTCAGCTAAGGATGCTAAGTGACAAGGACCTGGGCACCAGTATTTCCTAGAAAGGTTTCCTAAAAAGCTGTCAATCTCCTCCTTTCTAGTTTTCTCTTCCCCCACGAGAATACTGATAGATCTCCTAGGGTTGCTCAAGGATTGCATGAGGTAGCGCACATGTGGTCCTATGCCCTTCCACATACCTGCCTGGTCCTTGGGGGTCTGAAGCACACGATGATCAGGAGCTAAGAGTTTCCAATCAGGGAAGGAAAGTCTCCTCTTGCTTCAGGTTTGACTTTGAAATAATCGTATTCACTAACAACTTTGTGAAACATAAAAATCAGGTTTTTTTTAAGAAGGAAACACATTCAACATTATTTTTTTTACACCAAATTCCACACTCTGTGTGACCCAGATTCACAAAAGGCACAAATGTTCCCTCCACAGTATTTTCAACTGTGGGCAGATTTAGACCCTCCACCCATATCCTAAAGGGTCACGTGGTGTTGTTGAGACAGCTTTTAGTCGTCATGCGGGACTGGGAGGATGAAGTGATACTAGCATATGCTGGGTGGAGACCAGGGATGCTGAGGCCTTGAAGAGGCCCCCACGGCAAAATGCCCACTTTGCTGTGCACAGCTGAGTAGCTGTGTTCTCCACCCTGCTGCTGACAGATAGGTTAAGGATGGTGGCCACTGGCCACTTACAGCATTGGGAGCCAAGAGCCCAGGAATCAAAATTTAGGTGGCTAGGACCCAGCAGGGGGCTCAATGTGGTTAGAGCTCTATAGGAGGAAGGAGGAGCCAGCTTCCAGTGAGCAGAGGGAATATAAAAACCCAGGGGAGAGAAGTTGAGATTTTTCCAGAGACATTGGTAAGTGTAATCACCTCTTGGCAACTGTAATTCAGCGGCAGACTTTGATCTCTGCCCCTCCCCTTCATAAATCCACACCTAATCAAACTGCAGCCTCAAGACTCAGGACGACACGGGGCTAGGGAGATGGCTCCCTCAGTAAAGTGTCTGACATATGAGCCTGAGGATCTGAGTTTGGATCCCTAGGACTCACCTGAAGGCTGGGTACAGGGGCACCCCCAGCATTAGAGGGGCAGAAAGGTCGGCGTGGAAGCTCACTGGCTGGCTAGCCGAGCAAAATGGTTGAGCTCCAGGTTCAGTGAGAGACTCTGTCTCAAAAATAAGGCGGAGAATGATGTAATAAGGGAGAACACCCAACATCAATCTCGTTCACTCCCCCCATGAACACACAGGCGTGTGCAGAACACACCCACTCAAACATGTACAAGCACCACGCACATATAAAGACTCTAGGAGCACAGACCAACTTGAGAGGGCAAGGACGTATGACATCGTGGGCTTTGTTTTCCAGATGTTCCTCTCATCACTCTTGAGCGTCATCACAATCATCGGGGCTGTGTACTGCATGCTGGTGTCACTCCAGGCTCTCGCGGAAGGTCCCCTCATTTGTAACTCTCAAGCCAACAGTACTGTCTCTTGTGAGTTTTCGTTGAGAAACTTAAGGTGAGTAGCATTTTGTCGCATTGTCTCATAGAGCTGCAGCAGACCCAGCAGAGGTCTCAATGTGCACAATGCTTATGATGCACAATGCTAGGCTTTTCTCCGTCCCGACTTCTCAAACATTCCTAAGGACTTGGTAAATTAATACAAATGGGTGACATCTCACAAGGAAGTGGAGGGGCTGCACGACCCAAATGCTCTGGGCATGATCTCTTCTAAATGGTCTAGTTGATCTCAGGGGGCTTATACTTGCTTGTTGTGTAAAAATTCATGATTATATGTGTATGTCTCTTAAAAGCTCTGGGAATATATACTTAATTTAGATCCTTGGGAATAGCCATGCGTGAGGGGAACATTTACTCTCCACATGTCTGCACTTTTTTAAAATTTAAATTTTATGCATGAGTTGTTTTGCCTATATGCAAGAGCATCACCTGTGTAGTACCCACAGGGACCAGAAGAGGGCACTGTACCTAGAACAGGAATTAAGACTGGTTTGAACTAGTAAGTGGATGCTGACATCTAGACCCAGGTCCTCTAGGAGAGCAACAGAGCTCTTAATTGCTGAACCATCTCCTCAGGCCCTAACTATTATTATTCTTTTCTCATTATTATTATTGTGTGTGTTTGTAAATGAGGTATTGATGGAGGCCCACAGGTGATGGATCCCTGTAGAATCAGAGTCGTGGGCAGTTGGTAGCTGTAAGATGCCCCTGGTTGGTGTTGGGTCCTCTGGAAGGACAGAATGTACTCTAAACATCTGAGCCATCCAACTGGTCCCTAATTAACCACTAAATTTGTAAACCACAGATGCTTTCATTTTTTTTTTGTGTATGGCGCTCATGCATTTACGATGCCTGGTATGCGTGTGGACCACTGTGCAGGTGGGTGCCAACGCATATGGAGGCCAGAGCTTGATGACAGATGTCACGTGTCCTCAGATTTTCTCCACTTTGTTTTCCAAGGCAGGCTCTCTCACTGAGCCTGGGGCCTGACCAGCCTGCTCCAGGGAGTACCTTGCTTTTGCCTGCCCAGTACTGGGGTTACCGGTGGCCACTGTCTTCTGGGTTTCTGTGTGGACACTGGGATTCGAACTCCGGTTCTTAGGCTTTCCCAGCAAGTGCTCGTCCATGGGAGCACCATCCCAGCCCTTCCCTTCTGAAACTTAAAACATGAGTAAAACACAAGAAACAGCAGCTAGTAGATACCTGTGCTCATGCTAGGTACTTATAGACAGACATAAAAATATTTGTCATGTAACAACACCTTACATTAGAAGTTACATATACATGGTCCATTGAGACAATTCTATGGCTGAATTTTGGCATAATTTGCAAAAACAGGCAGACAAATCTAATTCATTAGCTACCTTTAATTAGACATTTAGTTTGGGAAATCCACCAGATTTAACTTTTCTACTTTTATGAAATAACTGTTTTTACGTATTACCTACTTAAAAAAAACTCTCAAAATTTATATAGCAGTTACTATAAACTAAACAAAATTCAAAGAAATTCCTTTACTAGTAAGGACAATTTTGACTCCCAACCACAGCTACTGAACACATTTAACCATCAAGGAACGACAACAGCCTATCAATATAGTGGGTCACAGTCCAAGCTTTGAGGACAGTGGCACTCAGTCCCTTCTAGTCTAGCTGCGGAGGCCTACACAATAGGGCAATCCTAGTCTCAGGCAAATCCAGTCTCATAGGCCATGTGTTGCAAGTACTGTTATTTTCTCAGGTCCAAAGTCAGTTGTTGGGAGTCTACTCCATTTTATTCTGATAAACAAAAAACAAAACAAAATCATCCTGAAACAGATGTGTTAGGACTAAACACTTCTCATTTAATGTTAGAAGGGCCATCTATCATTTTAATCAGACCTATCTGAAATATTGTGAATAAAAACCATCCATCTGACCTCAGAGCAGATGTAGGTGAAAACCGAGTGTTGTGTGTGGGTGTGTGTATGTGTGTGAGAGAGAGAAAGACACACAGAGAGAGAGAAAAACAGAGAGAGAGAGAGAGAGAGAGAGAGAGAGAGAGAGAGAGATTGCTTTCCTACCTCTTGCAAATAGAAAGTCTGCATGGACAGGTTCAAATCCCCGACACAGAGGCAAGCGGTGGGGGCGTAAGCCTTTAAGCCCAACTCCGGAGACAGGAGGGTGAATCTCTGTGAGTTCAAGGTCAGCCTGGTGGGTGGAGCTAGTTCTAGGACAGACTCCAAAGCTACAGAGAAACCATGTCTCGAAAAACAAAGCAAACAAACAAAAAAATTCACAAAAATCACAAATACCCGACACAGTTGATATTTCTTTGCCCTTCAATCTTATGTGGCTCTCCTTAAGACCAGGTGTTCTCCAGAGAATGATACAACGTGCGCTAAGTGGAGTTTTAAAGTTGGAGCTATGCTTATGTGCTCAGAAAACCAGACTTTAGCTATGGTTTCTGTATACAGTTTTTAAAAATGGACACTGGGTCTTACCATACTGGGCCTTTTTGTTCACAGGCGCATTTAACTCTTCTCCTTTCCCCCCAGTAACTTCCAGCCTGAATCCTTCGATTTCCAGTGGTTCTTCGAAAAATCTTGTGTTTCTCGTACTGATTCTAACAACTCCACCGTCAGCGACATAATCAGTAACTGGGGCGTTCCCAGCTCTAACTCTGAAGAAGACAGACACAGGATTTTCCACTTCTCCGTATTTCTGAGTCTCCTGCTCGTCGGAATCCTCGAGCTCCTGTTTGGGCTTAGTCAGATACTCATTGGTTTCCTTGGCTGTCTGTGTGGTGGTGTCTCTAGGCGAAGGAGTGGAGTTGTGTAGCTTAAAAGCTAATAAACTAGAATGTCAGTACGTTGAATTTGAAAATCGCATTTCAAATATATGCTTTTATAAGTTCAATAATGGAGCTTCATCTGGAACACTGAGTGGTTTTAGTACAAAAAGTTGTTTTTGAAACCATCTCTGAAGTAACTTAAAAAAAAAATCAACCTATCAAGCTGAACCATGTGGCACAGGCCTTTAATCCCAGCACTCAGAGGCAGAGGCAGGCAGATCTCTGAGTTCAAGGCCAGCCTGGCCTGCAGAGTGAGTTCCTGGACATCAAGGACTACATAGAGAAACCCTGTGTGGAAAAACAAAATCAGTAAAACAAGGAAATCAGCCTTTCACATAGAAAGCATATTGTACATGTAGCACACCTGGAAAAAAGTCATCAGCGGCTGATACTGGGGAGAAGTTAGTGAAGCTTTTTTTTCTCCCCTGTGTATGTTGAAAAAACTTTCGCTAGACCTGAGAGTAGTTTGATGGCTGTAGAAGCGGGTGTCTTGGTCTTAAGAAGCTGACAGAGAAATGCTGTACTTAGCTGACAGGCACACAGCAATCCACTCTACTCTGCCTTCTTACATCTTCTCATGGTTTACCGTAATACCGTGAAGAAAAAAAAAACGGCCTTTAAAAGTTGGTTTCTATTTATGCTGTTCTTTAAAAGGTAACAAGATGTATTTACTGTATTAAAATGCTATAAAACAGAGAAAACTAAAAACCTACAATTTTTCTGAATGTCATCCCTTCTGCAATTGATTTCAATTTTTATCTTAGCTTTATGGGGTTTATGAGTTTGAAAGTGGGCTGGAGACCTGGCTCATCAGAAAAGTGCTTGCTGCTCCTGCAGAGAACTGAGGTTTGGTTCCCAGGACTCACAGTGGCCTGTCACAGCAGCCTGAAACTCGTCCAGCTTCCAGGGACCCAGTGCCCTCTTCTAGACTCCAGGGCAACCGTGCACACACAAACACAAATCAATCAATCAGTCTTAGAAAATGATTTCTGGAGTGAGCTAGACAGACGGCTCAGCACTTAAGAGTACTCGCTTACAATTGTCTCTAACCCAAATTCCAGGGGACCCGGAGCTCTATTCTGCCTCTGTGGGCAGCAGGTTCACATGCATTTACTTACATCGTAGGCAAAATACTCAAAATAAATCTATAAAAAAAAAAAAAGAAACCCAAACCAAAAAACCTTGATAGGAACTGAATTACAAATGTTTACAAACATTTACAAAAATTACAAACAATTACAAGTGTCCACATCAAGAACTTGGAAGCCTTTTTCTAGCTCAAATTGCATGAAGACCTTCTCTCCAACACCCCCACCACCACCACCACTTAGTAATACTTGAAAGCTTAGCTTCAAGATATTCTTACTGTCTCCTGTGTACATGATCACAATTAACCAAGCCAACACTCACCCAAGCCAGGAAGTTCTGAAACATGAAGGAAGGTCTTTCTGTCTACCACAGAATTAAAAAGATTAAGAACCACTCCTTCCCATCCCTCCATTCATTAGCTTTTTCCCACTTTTGCTCCTTATTAAGACCTCGTCTCTAGATCCTTATCTTTTGCCCCCAAGCGTCTAATCTCTGACTGAGTACTTTCCATCCTTCAGGAGACCACAGCTATGAAGAGTTTGACAGTCACTTTGTCAAACCATCTAATGCTGAGCATGGTGCCTTTGGCCCTTGTCTTAGCATCTTCTCCGGCTGCTGTCATTAAAATATCCTGACAAAAGCAAAGGAAGAAGAAAGGGTGTATTTAGCACCCAGTTTAAGGAAGTCCAGGGGGCAGGAGCTTGTGCTGAAGCTGGTCACAACCAGCCACAGTCAAGGAGCAGGGGATAAAGGCTTGCTGGTGCTCAGCACTTTCTCCCACTTCATATGATCCCGGACACACTGGGGGTGAGGGGTTCTGCCGACAATCCCCTGCAGGCATGCCTACAGGCCCATCTCACAAGTGGTTCTAACTGAATCCACTAACCACTAACCGTGTCAATGCTTCTCTGAAGAATTGAACACAATGGTGTTACCATTTCTTTTTCTTTTGGGTATATGTCTGCTGTGCATTGTGTGTGTTCACTGCCAGAGGAGGCAGTCAGGTCCCCAGACTGAGATTACAGACGGTTGTGAGTCATCATGTTGGAGCTGGGAATTGAACCTGGGTCCTCAGGCAGAACAGCCAGTGCTTTTTCATTTTTTTCTTTTCTTTTTTTGGTTTTTCAAGACAGGGTTTCTCCATAGCTTTGGGGCCTGCTCTGTAGACTGTAGGTAGAAGCTGCTTGTTCCCGGCTGCCCATACTTGAAATAACCACACAAAAACACTTGTTACTAAATAAATAAAGACTAAATTAAATCACTGCTTGGCTTATTAGCTCTAGCTTTTTTTTTCTTCCCTGAGACAGGGTTTCTCTGTAACTTTGGTGCCTGTCCTGAAACAAGCTCTTGTAGACCAGGTTGGCTTCGAACTCACAGAGATCCGCCTCCCTCTGCCTCCTGAGTGCTGGGATTGAAGGCATGTGCTGCCACCACTGCCCAGCAGCTCTAGCTTCTTATTGGTTAGCTCTTACATCTTAAATTAACCCATGTCTATTAATCTGTGTATGGCCATGTGGCTGTGGCTTACCTACAAAGTTCCAGGAGGGCTGTCTCATTCTGGTGGCTACATGATGTCTCCTTGACTCCACCTACTTTCTCCCAGTATTCAGTTTAGCACCCCCCTTCCCCAGCTCTATTCTGCTCAGCCACAGGCCAAAGCAACTTCTTTATTCATTAACCAATAAAAGCAATACATATACAGGACTTCCCACATCTGTAGACCAGGCTGGTCTCAAACTTAGAGATCTACCTGCCTCTGCCTCCCAAGCACTGGGATTAAAGGCATGCGCCACCACTGCCTAGTTGCAGTCAGAGCTCTTCATCTGTGATTCTTACACTGCTACACTGCACTGTCCCACACCAGACCATAAGTTCCATGGGCGCTAGGACATATATTTTACTAACTTCTGGTGTAATCAGTGCATAGCACAGAGTACCTGGTACAAGGCAGTGCCAAGCTAAGTATATTGCTGAATGAATGTAATCTTCAGCACCCAGACATTAGTGAAGACAATGCTTACTAATTAGTATCAAACTGCTAATCAGACAAGAAATAAAAACAGGTAAAACAAATGCCAGGTCACTGTACTTGAGTGAACAAATTAGAACCTGAGATGGGTCTTAGACTTTACTCATCATCCTGGAAAGGAATGATATGAGTCTAGGTCTCTGCTGCATCAGATAAAAAGAGAGGGGGGGGGGGGGTGGAGGGAGGGAAGGAGGACGCCTCTGAGTGACATTATCGGTGGAAATGTCTGCCAGGTTCTTTCTTTGCTCTTTAGTCTCTTGGGAACTGATGCTACAAATTGAATACCTAAAGCACACAGACCACCTGAAGTCAGCATCTTTTGAGGGCATTTGGTCATTGATTTGATATCCAAACTAGGAAATCCTCATTCTTTGAAACCTTATTTTCTACATTTACATACTTTTCTGTGTGCTTATGATGTGTGTGGATGTGTGTGCCCACCAAAGAGCTTATGGAAGTCAGAAGACAATTTCCAGGAGTCAGTTCTTGGCTTCACACTCAGGTCCCAGGGTCTGACAGTACCATATCTGCTGTGTTGTTTGGCCAACCAAAAGACCTCACTATTTAGTATCTTCTCTCTCGCATCACCATCCTTAATCTGTCAATTCCTCAGCAACAGAAAATGCTTCTAAAATATTTCCAAAAGCAGAAAGACAAGTGTTGGGATTCTGAAAGTGATATGATCATTTCTGTTCCTCTTGGTTCTTTATGGTCATTAGCCCTGACTGTATCTTACCCCCAATCTCTAGAATCTTTCATCTCTGTAGTGTGGGAGAATTGTTATATTCTGTCAATTATGTTTTAAATAATCGCTCATTGGCCAGTAGCCAGGCAGGAAGTATAGGCGGGACAACCAGACAGGAAGTAGAGGCGGGGCAATGAGAACAGGAGTATCTGGGAAGGAAGCTCTTTCCCCAGTCCTGTCCAGACACCAAAGAAGCAGGATGTGACCTGCCCCGCTGAAAAAGGTACTGAGCCATGTGGTTAACATAGATAAGAATAATGGGTTAATATAAGTTATAAGAGTTAATAAGCCTGAGCTAATGAGCCAATCAGTTTATAACTTATGTAGACCTCTGTGTGATTATCTTTGGGACCTAATGACTGTGGGAAGTGGGCAGGACAGAAACCCCAACAAGCAGGCCCTCATGCTATATCTCTGCTTATTGAAATTTCCATTTGTCTCTGTTCAAGTATTTACAAAATATTCCTGACTATCCTAACTAGAATGGAATCTGTTCCTTTTAAAACCCCTCCCAAGCCCCCGACTCCTGGGTAATTAACAACTTTTTCCTAATCACTGTAGGACATTCTATCTAAGAATGTTTTAGGTCTTTGTAACAATCATCAGGAAAAATAATAGCTTTTATATTAATCTCCCAGGAGTTCCTTTTACTTCTAGCCTGTTTGTGAAATCTTTTTCATGCCTGCTCAGCAAAAGAAGTTACACATTTAATTTATCAATTTAGTCACACTAAGTACAAGAAAGAACCCTCCTCTTGGATTAACGAAGACTGCAAGAACATCAATGTTAAATCTACCCAAATCTTCAACCTTCTGGTGCAAAAGTAACTGATGATGTATCCCCCCACCTGAAATCCTTGCCAAACCCCTATATTTAATAATATATTATTATGTTAATAATTATATTAATAATGTATTAATAATTATTATTAATATAATAATAATGAAATATTGCACCTAGTTGAATTCTACTTGCTCTTGAAAAGATACATACTTTTGAGTATTAAAGGCTCCCAAACCTTGGCTTTACAAATTTATGAGATTTGGTGTATTAGCAAGCAAATATTACAATGAAAAAAAGGATACAGGGCTTTATAAAGGTGTTTGGTTTTGTTTTCAAAACCTGAATCACTTCCACAGATCTAATATATTAGCATTTACAGTGGCAGCAAGTCCAGCGTCAGGATGGAGATCTGAGAAACCCAGGACACTCTTCTGATCCACAGGTCCACTAATGACCTTGCTCCCAGGGCAGAAAGACTTGAATAAGATACTCAGTCCACAGTACCAATTATGAAATAAATCTTTCCATAGACATTGCTTTGGTTGACAGTTTATTAAGTACACTACATTTATACTTTATTGTTTAAGTTTTTAAATCATTCACACACGGACTTGGTAAAAACATATTTTATAGAAAACTAAGATGAAAATCAGAACAACATATTGCACACAGATAAACTGCTGAATCATTAGGAGTTTTTACACACACCCTCTGTACAGGTGATCAAGAATTAGGTGGTTTGATTTTTCTTAAGTGCTGCACCAGACTATGACTTCAAAAGCATTAATGTTGTGACGCAGACACAAAAAGCATCTATCAAAGAAATTAATCATCTGAGAAACACTGTTTTCTTTTACATAGTTTTCTAAACTCACTCTTTATGACTGGCATTTCTTTTTAGAGAACTTAGCTGTACAGATGAGGCCCCAAAAAATGATTTTCTTTAAAAACAAACAAACAAACCAAGAGCCTATTTACAAAACATGCAAAAGGAGAGTGTGTAGGTGCCACTGCAGAACTAGCTGAATGCAGATCAATAACAGAATAGGT